ATAACCTTGTTTCGGTTGCTAAACCGACTTCGAACTCATATTGGTTTTTGATCTTCAAACCTAATATTTGTATGATACGGGACTCGAAAAGCTTAAGGATGATTGGTATAGCTAGACAATTCTAAGGCTTTTATCATTTTTTAGCATCTAAACGTTCCTCATATGGCTTGACTAGTATAGTCCCTTGCACTTCGCCTTCCTACATAAAGTCTTCTCGCCATACTTTGGCACAATAGGTTGGGACATCCCTCTATTCCTCGAATTAAAAGTCTCTAGACTTTATATTTTACTATTATAGCTAAAAATGTATCTCTCTATGAAACTTATCATCTAGCTAAACAAAAGAAACTTGTCTTTCCCGTAAGCAAATCTGCTAGTTCAGACTTGTTTTGAACTCATTCACATGAACATTTGGGGTCCATTCCCAATAATAACTCTCTCTAGTCATCACTATTTTCTTACCATAGTTGATGACTTTAGTCGATGTACTTGGGTTTTCTTAATGAAATTGAAATCCGAAGCTAGATTACTAATGTAAAATTTCTATTCCTTTGTTCATACTCGGCTTTTCGTTAAGATTAAATGCATCAAAACCGACAATGGTTAGGAATTTAATGTGCCTACATTCTATCATCTTCATGGCATTATCCATCAAACATCTTGTATTTCCACTTCATAGTAAAATAGTATTGTTGAAAGAAAGCATTAACACATTTTAGCAGTAGCTTAATCCTTGAGATTTCGATCCAATCTTCCATTATCCTTTTGGGGGGATTGTATTTTACATTTTGTATACTTGATCAATCGCTTACCCTTCCTTATTCTATAAAATAAAACACCATTTGAACTCTTGTACAATAAAATACCATAATTCTCACATCTTAAAATGTTTAGTTGTCTATGTTTTACATCAACCTTAGCTCGATCAAGATCCAAATTTGCTCTTAGAGTCGTCAAATGTATTTTTCTTAGCTATCCGTATGGAACAAATGGTTACAAAATATACAATCTTGTGACTCATTAAACTTTTGTTTCCAGAGATATTCTTTTTTATGAACACATCTTTCCTCTCGTAGCCTAACCCTTTTTCTCCTTCCTCCGATCTTGTTTTACCATCCGTTCCGATTTCGGACCTTTCTTCTAATTCTTACTCACCTTATGATCATTTCACTCAAATTCTTATCACTTCTACTAATCTTGTCTCTATACCTACCGATAATCCCATTAGTTATGTTCCTCCTATTTTCTTCCTTCATCTCTTCCTAATCCACCCGTTCAAAAATCTTCTAGAATAAAGCATGTCCCCTCGTATCTACATGCTTATGATTATCGCTCCATTCCTCATGACAACTCTACTAATCATCCTTCAATAGCGAGGTTTTGCCATCTCGCCCATCGTGTACTTCTCCTCACATTTTTAATCATGTTTTTTCTTACTCACACCTTAGTCCTTCTCATCGCATCTTTTCTCGCCAATATTACACATACTTCTAAACTAAAAACTTATCATGGGGTTGTTAAACATGAGTGTTAGAGGATTGCTATGTAGGATGAGATAAAAGCTCTTCAAGATAATAACACATAGGTCCTCACGGATTTGCCTATAGGTAAGCAACTAATTGGATGTAAATGGGTTTATAGGATCAAACGAAATCCGATGGCAGCATTGAGAGGTTCAAAGCTCCCTTGGTGGCCAAGGATACACCTAGCAAGTTCGGTATTGACTACATGGACACATTCAGTCCCGTTGCTAAAATGACTACCATCGAACTCTACCGATAGTATCTTCCATCAAACAAGTAGAATTTAGAACAATTGGACATCAAAAATGCTTTCTTACATGGTGATCTTCATGAGAAAATTTATATGCGCCTTCCTCTAGGTTTTAAGGCCAACAATTCCAATCAAGTTTATAAACTTGTCAAGTCTCTTTATGGTTGAAACAAGCCAGCAGCTAATGGTTTGCTAAACTCTCTACTACCCTCGTTGATCAAGGTTTTTCTCGGGCTATCGTAGATCATAGCTTATTTGTTCGAGGCTCGGTTCTCACTTCATAGTAGTGTTAATCTATGTGGACAACATGATTTTGGCTAGTAGTGACATGCCACGGATCCATCAGCTCAAATCTTTTCTACATGATCGGTTCGTAATTAAAGATCCGGGACCTCTTAAATTCTTTCTTGGTCTCGAGGTTGCTAGATCTTCTAGAGGCATCAACTTAAGTCAACGTAAGTATGCTCGTCGAACTCTTGCAGGAATCGGGTTTTATCAATTCTAAACATGTCTTCACTCCCATGGTTTCTGCTCAAAGGCTTTCAAAAAATGACGAGTCTCACTCTATCTGACAACATTGCCTATTGAAGTCTCGTTGGCAAATTGTTATACTTAACTACAACTGTGCTCGATATTGCCTTTGTCATGCAACAATTATCTCGGCACCTTGATTGTCCAACCGAGAACCATTTGAGAGTCGCTCATAGGGTACTTCGCTTTATCAAAGCCGCACTCGGTCAAGGTCTCTTTTTCCCTTCCATCGTTGATCTTCGGGTTTAAGGTTTTTTAGATTTTAATTGAGGAACTTGTTTAGACACTAAAAAATCCATTACTAGTTACTCGTATGTTTATGGGCTCTTCCTTAATCTCCCGGAGATCCAAAAAGCAAGCTATCGTGTCTTGCTCCAGTTCTGCAGCTGAAATAGAGCTCTTGCTCATGCCACTCGTGAATTACAATGGCTTCTTTATATTCTGCGAGATCTTCAAATCTCCCATTCAACTTCTACCTTACTATTTTGTGACAATACTTCGTTATTCACATTCGTCGCCAACCTAGTGTTCCATGAACGCACCAAACACATCGAGCTCGACTCGTCATATTGTTCAAGAAAAACTTCAAGTCGGCATCATCAAGCTTCTCCCAATTCCTTCAATTCACCAACTGGTTGATTGTTTCACCAAAGTCTTGCTTGTTGCCTCGTTTCGTACCTCTGTTTCCAAGTTGGGCATTCAAAATATGTATGCTCCAACTCGAGGAGGGTATCACGACTTATTTATCACAAATATCAATTAGGAATATCGGCTACATTCTTTTAGATAGATTAATTTGTTAGTTGATGAGTTGAATTAGTTTAACGAGTTAAAGGGTTAGTTATCCTCTCGCTTAGCTGGCAATCCTTTTAGCTTAGCTTGCACTTTGTATAAATAGACTTCCTCTGTTCAAGTAATAGGAAGAAGAATAATTCAACATTTTAATGTTAAAATTAATTTTTTTAGTTTTAATTTTTATTAATAGTAATTAATCCTTATTTTTTAAATTTAATTGTAACTTAATTATTTTTTCTTTTGGATTTATTTTTTTCTAATAAATAAAAATAAAAACTATTTAATTCATTATCAACATTTCTTAAAGAACTAATTAATTAATTTTTTAAATAAAAAATTACTTATTATTTTTTTTTGCAAAAATAAAAGAATTATTATATAAATCACAAGACGGTAATCCGTTGATAAGCAAATATTGACTTGTAGGTCGGGTTCGAATTCGATCTTTATGATCAGTACTTTGAAAATTTATTCTTAGAATATCTGAAAACGTATGTTGAGAAATACCATTTTAATCATTTTTTTTAAAAAAATTAATTTTGAGGTACGTAAAAATAGGTTAAGAGATATGCTAAAAAAAAAGAATTATATATATAATTCTATCCAAGTGAACCAGCCGGTTTTTGGTATGCGACCCATATCCAAGTGGAGTGGTTGATAAAAAAAAAAATGTTGTTTTCTAAAAGATTAAATGCAATGCAGTAGCGGCAAGAAGTATATCTGCTTTGCTTCTCATGCTTCTTGACAAAATAGAGTTCAAGGATGTGCTTGTTTCCTACACGTATGCGGCCAAATGCCGAAAAGTGTGCTTCTGCCCCCAAAACCGTCGAACCAATTCAATTCAACGGTCACTCCGCCTACTTGCCAGTTTGAAACCCATCGGCATTCGTTTTGCGCCGCTAAAAATACAGTGTCAAGGCAATTACAACTACTTCTTTTTTTAAAGTCAAAATCATTTTACCTAATTAACCATTACATGCTCAACAGCTCATAAATAATAATACTATATCCGTACTAAAGAAGATTATCAACTTTTTATTTATATTTATTTCAAAATATTCATCTATCAAAATTTTAAGGGATCTATTTTTTCAAAATACTTTTAATTAAAATTTGTTTCTAAAAAGTTGTCCAAATATAATTATAAAAAAATATTTTAAAAAAATATGAATAATAATTAATAACTTTTTTAATTTATATGAAAAATTAAAAATAAATAAATAATAAATAATAATAATAATAAATCTCAATTCACCATTGCTCTCCTCTTCCTTATCCTGTAGGACCACAACTTATTATTTTTAGCTTTTAAAATTGGATAAGAAGAGATTCGCCTTTTCGTTTTGGAAAAAATTATAGAAAACCTTAATAGGAAAAATGCCAGCAATGAATGACAAAGAAAAATTATTACCATAGAAAGAAAAGAAAGGCAATGATTATTTTATCCCGAAAGTTGTGGGCAAAGATAGAATGCAAGAAAACCAGAAGAAATATTTACCTCTAAAATAGGATATTTATGCACTAATTCTTACAAAATTTGGAACTCCAAATTTCACTTTCTTTTATAAATTTAGTGCTCAAGTCCGAATCCTTTGTAAGAGGAGAAAAGAACACAAAATAAATAGGCCTCCAAGAAACAAAACAATTGAGCAACCAAACAGGAAGAAGAAGCAGAAGAAACACCTTACTGCCTTCACCCTTTTTCTCTTTTGTTTCTTTCTTTCTCTCCCTGCTCCGTCGGTCAAGAATGTAAGCCAATTTCTTGATTTTATTATTTTCCATTCGGGTGCCCGTCACCATCCTACATCTCTTGCAGAACCGCGCCTTTTTTTTTTTTTCAGATAAAAACCAAGATCAATCATTTCCGTCTTCCTGACTATAAAACATTTGAAGAAGGAAAAATGGCTGACGCGTGTAAATTTGCTCGTCATGCGGTAAATGGGAGATGGTTCTCTGTTTTTGCCTCTTTTTTGATCATGGCTGGGGCTGGCGCTACCTATCTGTTCGGCACCTACTCCAAAGACATAAAAGGCACTCTTGGTTATGACCAAACCACTCTCAATCTTTTAGGATTCTTTAAGGATCTTGGTGCCAATGTTGGGGTCCTTTCTGGGCTTCTAGCTGAAGTCACACCAACATGGTTTGTGCTTCTGGTTGGTTCTGCCATGAACTTTGCTGGGTACTTCATGATTTGGATGGCTGTGACTCGGAGGATAGCCAAGCCTACTGTTTGGCAAATGTGTTTGTATATTTGTATAGGGGCCAATTCCCAAAATTTTGCAAACACAGGAGCTCTAGTCACCTGTGTCAAGAACTTCCCTGAAAGCAGAGGAGTGATGCTAGGTATGTTAAAGGGTTTTGTGGGATTAAGTGGAGCTATCTTTACACAACTTTACCTGGCCATCTATGGAACCGATTCAAAGTCTCTCATTCTTCTCATTGCGTGGCTCCCTGCTGCTTTGTCTGTGATTTTTGTGTACATAATTCGGGAAAGGAAGCCTGAGAGGCAACCTAATGAGCTCAAGGTGTTTTACCAGTTTCTCTATGTCTCAATTGTTCTAGCTTTGTTTCTCATGGCTTTGAATATAGTTGAAAAGGTGGTTGATTTCTCGCAAGCAGCCTATGCTGGAAGTGCTGCTGTAGTTTGTGTTATGATTTTCATACCCCTCATTATTGCCATTAGAGAGGATTGGTTTCAATGGAACATCAAGAATCAAAACGCAATGAAGCCTGATACAGAGGCAGCCGTTGAGAAGGCACTAGATATTGCACCAGAAGTGAAGTCAGAAATTTCAAAAGAGCAAGAGGAGAAGGCTCAAAAATCTTGTTTCCTTACCATATGTAACAAGCCACCGAGAGGTGAAGACTACACAATCTTACAAGCACTTTTGAGCCTGGATATGCTAATCTTATTTGCTGCAACATTTTGTGGACTTGGTGCTAGCTTAACAGCAATGGACAACTTGGGTCAAATTGGTGAATCACTAGGATATCCAACTAAAACCATCAAATCCTTTGTTTCGCTGGTGAGCATATGGAATTACTTTGGAAGGGTCTTTGCTGGATTTGTTTCTGAAAGCTTACTAGTCAAGTACAAGATGCCCCGGCCATTGATGATGACATTTATTCTCCTTTTGGCGTGTGTAGGCCACCTCCTCATTGCCTTCCCCTTCCCAGGTTCAGTCTATGCTGCATCAGTGATTATGGGGTTCGCATTCGGTGCACAACTGCCCTTGCTGTTCGCTATAATCTCTGAGCTCTTTGGCCTAAAGTACTACTCTACCTTATTCAATTGTGGACAATTAGCAAGCCCTCTTGGCTCATATATACTTAATGTGAAGGTCACTGGTTTATTATATGATAATGAAGCAGTGAAAGAGCTGGCAAAGAAGGGCCTGGACAGATCATCGGTGAAGGAATTGATCTGCATTGGAGTACAGTGTTACAGGCTACCATTTATAGTTTTGTCTGCCGTGACATTGTTTGGTGCTCTCATTTCACTGGTTTTGGTGATGAGGACAAGGAAATTTTACAGCAGTGATATATACAAAAAGTTTAGAGAGATTCATGGAGTGAGCTGAGAACAATACACAAATGGAATTGAGGGGCGATGGAAGGAAGAAGGTGATCACAAGTAGGCTTTGTAATATTAGCACCATCTACCTGGGAATTTTCATGTACATTTACTCAAAACAAATAAAAATTAGTCGTATATTTTTGGTTTTATAAAAGTTCAAAATAATGAATGCCTTAGGAAAATGATTTTCCGAAGCCACAGGCCGCGATACCTTTTACAAATGTGATCTCGAGTGCGTTGCTTACTTTAAAGTTTGAATTTAAAATATAGGATTCTTGAAGAATGATGTAACTTAGACAAAATTGGTTCAATCACTCGAAATTATTACTTGTATAACTTTAACGAAAGAGGGAGACTTACTCACTGAATAATGAATAATCCTCTCCCACAATAGTACCATTGGGAAGTAATCAAGAAAAAAACACCGAATAGGTTAACTTAAAATAGGTGAACGTTCTAAAAATCATTGCTTAGAAAAAGATGATAAGAAATGGAAGCTTTAATCATGAACCTTTCCTGCTACCTGATAATTTAAGAAATCATGGTGATGGTGTTCCTGTTTGGGTCACGGTTGGATTGGCATCTCATCAATCATCATCCTGTGCTTGTCTGCTAGCCAGTTTTCCACATCTCTCTCTCTCTCTCCGCACGGGATGCAATCAAGAACAGCAGCAGCATCCCCAGTTGATCCAAAAGAAAAAAGCACAGCGCGTCTGTCCCTACTATAACCTAAACTTTGGAGCAACATTTGTCTCTATCGTCATTATAAAGACCAAATTAATTAGCTTGAAAGATGCCAAAATTAGATCAAAGGATATGATGGTTGTAAGTAGCTAATTGATATGTCATTTTTTGCCCATTGTCAAGAACTAACTAATTGGTCCAGAATTTGTCTTGACCTCGTTACATTACATTCTATTGATTACAGTTCTAGTTTACTGAATTTAACCTTATACTCTCCAATCAATTTAATTAAAGCATTTCATTTGTTTTTTAAATTGTGTGAGGGATTCTTGGGAAACTAATCAAAGGACTGATCATTCGATCGATTGAAATGTAAAAAGTTAATATTGTGATTTGTAAAAATAACAATCAATCAATTAAATAACATTGATGTAAGTAGTAAGATGCATAAGAGAAAGAAGAGACAATATTAATAAAACACGAGTGACAAATAAATTGATGGTCAAAATCACATGTAGGTGATCAAAGTGCAAACATATAAAATAGATCAATATGAATTAATAGTTTAAAGACTTTATAGATGCCAATTGACTATTTTATTTTTCATAGAGTTATTTTTATGTTTGTTGTCTTTGTATATTTAATTTTATTATGCCTTGCACTTTTGTGTTTATTTAATATGGAGTCAGTGTAAATTGGCGGTTCATTGAATTGATTCTCGCCATCTTTAATTTGTTCTAGCCTATCACTAGCATATATCCCGTGCGTTGTCGCATGATGAATTATATATCATTCTTATGCATTCATTAATATAAAATTTAACATTTATAAATCATTATTTGACAATATCATGCGAAAATAATTTTTTTAAAAAAACTAAAACATATATTTCATAATTTGCTATAGGGTTAGCTAATGAAAAATCTGTAAAGTTGAGTAATATAATATTGCTAATTAGATATTTTTTATATAAACATGTATTTTATTAATAGCTGATAATTAAAATAATAATGTGGTATTTTTTGAATTTTCGATGATTAATTTTTACCATATATTATTCATTTGTAATTTATTAATGACACAAAGAGACCACTCAAAACAAAAAGATAAAAAAGCTCTGTCAAATCGAGAACTTGACAAAGAAAATAGAGATAAAATTACACATGATAAAAATTAAATGATTAAAACAAAGTAAATATTATAAAAGGATAAAAATAAATAAATAAAACTTTTACTAAAAGCATACAAAAATACTTATAAATAATAAGACTAAAAAATTTCATTATGCATAAGGCAGGAACAAAAGTACACATTATAGAATTTTAATGACTAAAATAAAAAAATTAATAACATAAGAATCAAAACATAAAATTTTTCACTAAAAAAAAAAACTTAGGATAGTTAAAATGTATTTAATTTTAATATAAAATGATTAATAATTAAATATAACCAAACTTTAATGATCAAAATAAATGAAAGATCATAAAACAAAAACCAAAATATATCAAAAAGTTTTATTAAAAGTAAAAAATAGTTCCTTGTAGGAAAAAATTTTAATTATAAAAAAAAATAATTACAAAACAAAGACTAAAATTTTTTTTTACTAAATTTAATGACGAAAAGAAAGAAAAAATAAAAAAAATAGAAATTAGAATAAAAAGAAAATTTCAATAAAAAAAAACAACCTTAGGATAGTAAATTTTATTTAGTTTTAGCATAGTAAGGATAAAAATTAAATATGAGAAAATTTTCATAAATAAAATAAAAACATATTAAAAAACGGAAAAAACATAAATTTTTACTAAAAGTTAAAAAAAATTGATTATAAGGATTAAAATCATATATCATAAAATTTTAATATTTTTGATAGGGATAAAAATCAAAGATCGGAAAAGATGAATGATAAAAAGAAAAAAAAAAGAATGAAGGGACTAGAATAAATAACAATTTTCTCAGCCGAAATGGAAGGAAAAAAACGACAAGCCGAGCTTGGTCGAGCGACGTAGGCCCGCAAGTCCGGCACAGGCTACTACTGCTGCAAAAAAAAAAAAAAAAAAAAACAGGGGGTGCAACTTTTGCCGATCAAGGTTGTCGGAATCTTCGTCGGAAAGTCGAGGTTCAAGTTTCGGACCCCTAGAAATTGAATTCGGCATCATTTTTTTCTCCAAACACCTCTAAATGATCGAAATAAAGCCAATAAACATATCTAAAATCTTAAAAATCATTTTAATGCATATAAAAACAAAAACAAATTACACAATCAAATCGAAACTTTGTTTCCTTTTTTGGGTCCGATTTACCTCATCTAATGGTTTAATGGCTTGAAACAATCATGGACAAACTCATCTCTCAAAGATAAACAAATCTAGTAGATTTTGGCTCGCCAAAACGGCCTAAATAAGCTTGGCCGGCAATTTTCTCTCCTCCTCTCTCTCTTCCTCCTCCCTTCTCTCTCATCCAAGGACCAAACCAAAATGAATGAGCAAATGAAGATGTGGACCGAAAGATTAGTTGGCAAAAATCGGGGACCAAAGTGTAAAAAACTAATGAATAGTGAATTATGAGTGTGTGAACAGTATTTGGAACAGTAAATCGACGTTTTGTTTTAGTTTATTTAGTTAACGTGTATAATGGGGTTCATCATTTAAAAGTAAAAAGGCTTAACCTTGGTGCCTCTTTTTCAAGACATCAAGGATGAGTCCTCATTTAATCTGTTAAGATTAACACGAGTGTTCTATTTTCGATTTCAATATTAATTTTTGTTATTGTTATTAGTAGGTATTTATTTCTTTATCGTGTTTGGAGTCTAATTGAGTAGTTTCTTATTAAGATTCGTAAAGTTATTTTTATTTTTATTTTTTTCGAATTGGAGTCCATTTTTTTGTGTTCTTTGAATTGGCGTCTTTTTTTTGAATTGGATTTTATTTGAGCTATTTTTTAAGAGTTAGCTAAATGTTTCTAAGTTATACTATTAGGCTATAAAAGCTTCTTAATTTTACGTGTGTTTTAAGAAGGCATAACTTTATCATTATTTATTGAATAAAAATTTTTAGAAGTTTTTTTAAAGTGTTTTCTTGGGGTAATCCTTGTGCTTACTTAGGATTTTGTATTTTGGTATCATTGGATTGATTTCTCATGTTGGTGGTCAAAGTCACAAATAGGTGGCCAAAATCATAAATTGACGGTTAAAATCCAAACATATAGAGTTTTAGATAATGTCTAATGTGTGAGCAAGAAAATTTTTTAAAAAGAGAGAAAATACCTAAGTTTTGTTAAAGATTAAAAAGTTGAAATTCCTTCACAATTATTTTGATATTGGTATTTATAGTGAAATAAGGATAGCTATTGACTATTAAGATCATATTATGTCATTTGTGTTTCAACAATTAGATTTGAGTCAAAGAAAATTATGATTTTTTTGAGATAAACAGTTTCCACTTAATAACAAATGTTAAAAGAAGTAGCAATTAGATTTTTATTTTTTAACGGATCATATTCCAATTCCATAAAGTTAATCTTGCTGATGCATATTAAAAACAAAACATAAACATTGACTTAGATTAAATATACATATCTATCATCATACGGCCCAAAGCCTTGTGTTAGATAAGTCTTAAGGTCGTGTCCAATCCATTTGTAGATTGGATTCATGCCAAAACCAAGGATTTATGAAAATAACATGATTTAATACAACTTCGCTCGTTGGAATTTTGTAATTATTAACCGACCATCCCACATATATCATGTTCGTAATTTGATTGTCAACAAGTAACGAATGGCGAGTAAAGTTTATTGGAGTAAATTATAATTAATTTCTCTAATTTTGCAAAATGAATTAAATATTGTATTTTTTAAAAAACTAATTATTTAGTTCCTTAATCACTAATGATCCTAATTAATTTAATATTATTTTATTTCAAAAAATGTCTTTTTTCATCAATCATTTCATTTTTTGTCATTTTTCTATTTATTAAAAAATAAAATAAATTGAAAATGGATGGAGATAATTAACTTACAAATAGATTTAAAAATATAAGAACTAATTAATTAGTTATTGACACTATATGAACTATTTAATTCCTTTTAAAAAAATGAAAAGGACTAATTTATAATTTACTCAAGTTTAATTTCCTTAAAAAAAAAAACATCGTCGTGGTGTTTAAATGGGCTTATAGTAAGTCAATAAAAAACCATGCTGAGTTCAAAACCCAAACAATTGGGAAGATCCAATGGACTTCGATTGTTATAAGACATGGTAACGGTTTGGTTCGAATCGTAAACGTAATTAAAATCGAACCGTTAAAAAATCGAATCGGAATCGTTAAAACCATAACCTTGACCAAATGGAATCGTAACGAGCTACCTACGGATTGGTTATGGTTTAAGGTATCATGGAACCGAAACCGAAGGTATTAAATTGATGGTTAACCGTAGAATCGGCGATTCCATATCTTTTCTAATAAATTTGGGTTTGGTCGAAAAAAATGAAAAAAATAAATAAATAAACCAATTTTATATGCGCTGAACAGTAGCTATTGGATTGAAAAATGAAAAAAAAAATTAAGCCTAATAATTTTTCTTCTTCTTCTATAAATACACTCTCAATTTTTTCATTCTCCTCACAACTCAATATCTCATTCTCTCTCAACTCTTAAACTCTTAAGTTTAGAATTCTCAATACTCGTTCTACAATATTTTTTATACTCCAAATACTTCTTAAATTTTTTACATTTCTAATTTTTTATACTAAAAAAAATGACAAGTTCAAGTACACATATGTCATCACAACAAAGTAATACCGTCAATCAAAATCGAGCGAGGGAGCAACAACAACAATCAAATTTTACACCTAGATCATCCGACATCTTCAAAATTCATTTCTCAAAAGTTCATTTAGAAAAAGGCATTTTTACTATGATTTGCAACTATTGCAACAAGCAATATACATTCAAACAAGGAGGTGGTTATGGAACATTCAAAACTCACTTGGAGAAAAACATCCATTTGTACTTGGTAATGATAAACATCGGACACAAATATCCGAGTTTGCTTCTCAATCTTCCTCTTTATTTCGAGTATACTCGATAAAAGAATAAAATAAAGAAGAAATAGCTAAAATGATATGTATTGATAATTTATCTTTTAGTTTTGGTCAAAAAATAGGTTTTAGTGATTATTGTTCTAACGCTTTGAATCTCGTTTTCCAACAAGTTGAAAGACATTCTTTAAAAAAAAAACAATTATAAAATTGTATAGAGATAAAAAAAAGAGAATTAACTCGTATTATTTACAAATTTGAATAGTCGTGTTTCTATATATTCCGATATATGGTCCGATCAATGACAAACTCACTCCTTTATGGATATAACTTGTCATTGGATTGATAATGAATGGCACATGCTAAAACGTCTTCTTGCATATAGAGTTTTTGATGATAAACATACTCGCTCAAAATATATATAAGATACTAAAAAGGATTTTAGATGAATATGTTTTACCTTTAAAAATATTTTCAATTTCTTTTGATAATGCTAGTTCTAATGATGCTTCAATAGACTCTTTAAAAGAACTTTATCAACCCCATCTTAGAGGTAAGTTTTTTCCATATTAGATGCGTATGTCATGTTTTAAATTTATGTGTGCAATCTGGTTTGGAATATCTTGAAGATATTGTTAGGCCAATTAAAGCTCTTGCTAAATATTTATGGACGCATCCCGAAAAGATGAAATCATGGGGAAAGTTTTACAAAGAAAGAAATAAAAAACCAAGATGATTTTCAAAAGATGTTCCAACTCGTTGAATTGAATTCAACTTATGACTTACTTAAGCGAGTCATTTGAATATCGAGATTTATTATGCTCATTTTTTCAAAAAATATTGATTTTGTTTTTATTTGTCAAAATGATTTTGATATTTGTGAACCACTTTTGGAACTTTTAAATGTTTTTAACAATGCAACATACACTTTTAGTGTCGTTTATCAACCAACTTCATATTTATTTATGATTGAAGCAATTAATATTGTTGAAGCTTTTAATCATGTAGAACAAGGTATGCCACCTTTACATGATGCTCGTTCAAATAATGAAACAAAAATAGTTAAGTTATTATGAAACAATTCCACCTATTTATCTTGTTGCTTTAGTCTTTGATTCTAGATTTAGAATTGAAGATCTCTCTCGCTGTTTTGAATACTTACTATGAGCATTTGCAATTATTTGATAGAAATATAGAATTAGAAACTCGCTTCTATTATAAATCGAAGTTATAAATTTATTTATTGAAATGTTTTTAATCGTGGGTGATCAACATGGTAGTTTCTCTTTACCACTTATGCCACAATCATCATCAAGTAGCCAACGTGTTAAAGCTGGTTATCTTATGGCCATGGAAAGGACAAAAAGGCCAAGAGGATCATCGAGCTCCATTTTCGAGCTTGATATTTATCTAACAACCGTGTTTGAGTTTGGTGATAGCAATGCGAGTGTAGATTTTGAAGTAATTGATTGGTGGAAAAAACATACGAGCACCTTTTCGATCCCGTCCATAATAGCTAGACAAATACTTGTCGTGCCGGCTTCAACAACGGCCATTGAAAGAGTATTTAGCTCCGGAGGTAATATTTTAGATGATAGGCGATCATAATTGGCTCCCGAGTCACTTTAAGCCTAAGTATGCGTGGATGATTGGATAAAAGCCAACAAGAGAATACAAGAACAAAAACAATATGATTTCTATGAAGAAAGTGTGGATTTAACACTTGACGGCACAACGACGAAAACTTCGAAGCCGGAACTTCCGATCAAGAAAGCAACTAGGCGCAACTACATAGAATATAGGTGTAATTTGTAAAGGGGTAATTTGAAATGTAAAATAAAACTACGTAAGCTTTGATTCCTCTAAACCCCAAGAAGATACGTAGGAAGCTTAATTTTTATAGTGTTTACAAAAATTAGATTCAAGCCCTTCTTTATTTATTTCTTTTTTCCCTTTGATTTATTGTGTGAAATACATTACAATGTAAAAAATATTATAATATTTATACATTATGCAAAATAGAAGTTTTTTCGTTTCAATATTAATGTTTGATTTATACTTGAGAAAAAATATTCGATTTTTTTTATTTTTTCATTTAATAAAAAAACTATTGAATCATCGGTTCCAAACGGTTTGGAACCGTCGATTTTACGATTCCAAACCGGAACCGTAACTATCCATAGAAGATTTGGTTTAAGTTTCACCTTTTGGTGGAACCTTAACCTAGCGGTTCCTAAATCGAAACCGATAGTTCGGGAACCATTACCATGTCTAGTTATAACAACCGTTTTCTGTTCTTTCATTTTTATTTCCTCAATAAATGTATACTTCTTCATTTATTTTTTTATTTTCATTTATTTATATTTATACGTTTGTTTGATCCATCTATTTTATTTGGTTTTTTCTCGTATGCCTTTTCTAATAACATTTCACTCAATTAAGACTATGTGTTAATTATATTTCCTCTGCTAAGAAAACATAAAAATAGAAAAAAGAAATAAAAAGCTTTTAAAATACCCAAAAAAAGAGTTAAAAAAAACTTGAAAAATCCAGAAAAGCAAAGAAAAAAGGGTGAATTTTACAAATCTGAAAAAAAAAACCAAAATTTTTAAATCTCATAAAAAGGAAGTAAAACATTGAAAACATAAAAGCGTGATAAAGAAAAATAATAAAAAAACGTGAAAATAAAAAACTGGAAAAACTCATGTTATGTAAACTTATGGGCTTGAGTTTTACTCCGATGACATCACTTGCTTTCTCCTTCTCTTCTTTCATCTCCTTTTCTTTGCCTATGTCATCGGTAAAGAAGAATACGAAAGAAAACTAAAATGACCAAAAACCCACTCAGGTCGCACAAAATTTGAAATCAATGCCTCTTATAAATACAATAAAAAAAAAAAAAAGCTATTCAAAATGGTATTTTACTTTATTTATTTATTTTTATCTTAATGAATGGAGGAGTGATTTACAAGACCCACATGATGGATATTAGCTAATAAGTTGGTACTAGCGAACTTTTTTATTTTAAAAATAAAATATTGATTAAAAAATTGAAAAGATAAATTAAAAAGCAGATAGCATGAATAAATAAATAAATAAATCTAGTGTTTATAAAAAGTTTGAAATAAATAAAATATTTACAATTTTTTCATGTATTTTATTAATCATTGTTTTTTTATAATTGAAACCAACATAAGTCTTGCAAGCATCCCACCCTTTCCTAAAGTAAAAATTAATGGAAAAGGAGATTTATTTTGCACAAAGGGATAAATGGTACCTTGACATGTAAATTAAATTCTTCTTTTAAAACGATTTTAAATGCACACTTTCCATATTTATTTAATGCATTTAAATTTTTTAATAAATTATCATAGATATTAATTTGAACACTAAAGCCTTGAAAAAAAAAATATATATATGTCTTCTTAATTACCTTGCCAACCTGCTAACCAAATTGAACAACAGGACTAGCGTCATTACACTAATAAATATCTAATAACCGGTTTTCTACTAGTCATAAACCGGTCTGGTTCGATGGAAATCCTCCTGAACATTTTGAAAGCCACTTTCAGTTTGGCGCTTCTCTTCTCAAAATTTTGGCTCCACCCCCTATAGAGAGAGAGGGTGTTGGAGTTTGTGAGAGCGAGAGAGAATTTGGAACATGGATGCTCCTATTGACTTTGAATTTGAAGACGCACTTCTCAATTCTCCTGTTATTGTCAAGAAAAGGTCTGTTTCTTTTTCCCCTTAAATTCCTACCCTTATTTTGCTTCTGTACAACTACTTTTATCAGCAAGTTTGATCTAGGTATTAACTAGTTTAGTTTTATGGTTTTACCTTTTTCTCTTTCTCCGATTTCGAGCATTGCTGTTGGTTGCGTGATTATAGTGTGTTGACTTGATAGATATACTGTTCATGATTTCCTTTTAAGCATTTTTTTTATTTATTAAATAGAAACTTTTTTTGAAGCATCAAATCTGAGATCGAACCCACTTTTTTTTGTTATTGTTTTAATTTTGAGATGGAAATTTTGAATTTCATTGAGAGATGACCTTTTCTGATACCAATAGAGTAGAGGATATCATCCTAACACCCCCTGCCCCTTTTACTTTTCTTATTATCTTAATTTTGATATCGAAATTTTGCATTTGATTGTGAACCCATTAAGCAAGAGATGACATTTTCCGACAAAGTTTAACAAATTTTAGAACTTGGTTGACAGTTGGAGCACCAATTAAGTAGAGGATATATTATTACCCCTTTTGTGAAAGTAATAATTTTAGTTGGATTGGCAGTGGAAGTTTTGCTTTTCATAAATGGATTTCAACCTGTGTTTTAATGTGTTTGTTATGTTTACAATTTGAACCAGGAAGAAAGTTATTGGCTTGGATGATCTTTTGACTGATTACTACAACGAAAAAAGCAAAGTGATCGAGAAGGAATCTAAACGAGCAAATGCTAAGAAAAACTACGATTCAGACGAGGATGACTTTGGCAAAGAAGCCTTACTATCAAAACAAATTAATGAATGCCACAATCAGGTACAATAGACTTCTTTGTTGTAGATGTTTCAACGCTCTTTAGTGCCATTTTACATGTTCCCTTTTGGCCATTTCACAAGTTGGTTCTTGATGTAGATGAAAGAAATGAGTGGCGAGGAAGAGATCTCCACGTGGGGTTTACATGTTTTTGGCGATCAGGTCCTCTTCTAAATGAATTTGAACTCATAGATATTCTAAATAATGATTGTTTTAGTATTCCGATGGCTTTCATTTGGAGTCCACTTTTTAGATAATTGATGGTAATTTATTACTCTCTGGGTGAATTGCAGAAACCCCTGCCACTTCTTACTTTGCCTGAGCTTGGAAGTTGCTCACTTTTGCAGTCTTTCATGAGCAGCGAGCTCAACTCATTGGTTGAACTAACCACAGAAAAAGGTTATTCATATTTCTATTTTTCTTTAATTATTTCTTTTCATTTTATCACCAATTCTGCATTTCTGCTCCTCTTTCCTTGCTTCACAAATGCGCACACACACAAAATGAAGTTTAAATTTTTTCTTCTGATCAGTTCGCAGCAATTATCTAACTATTATTCTAACCTCTTTGATATGCACTTGCAGGGGAAACTTTTCTTGAAGGACTTTTAGTAAATGACTGGCTCTCAAAATTGGTATCTGCGCATGGCTATGTAGAAAACTCAATTGCCAAATGGACTTTCTATTTGAGTAAGTGTATCTGTTAGTGCCTAAGAATTCATTTTGTTTTCATTTGATGTTATTTATGTGCTCATCCTGTGCCATGTTAGTGTTATATTCATCAAAAGAAGAGTTGAGAGCATCTGCTTGTGACTTCTGGTGCAACATTCTTTTGCCTTGGGATAAGGTGAACCTGATTTTTACTTTTATTGATTGGTTGCAAAGTTCTATGACACCTCATTTTGTATTTTCATTGAAGTCCTCTGAAGTATGATGGTTCTATCTCTATGCTTAATCAGACTGAGAAGCTGCCTATCAGAATTGAGTGGTTTCCTAAGTACTCTGAGCTGAGAAGCGCTCTTGAAACATATGGATTTTTTTCCATATTTTGTCACGGACAGAATCAGTAAACACTGGTAAGTTCTCTTTGTCACTTCTCTTGTGTTAACAATAAAGTAGAGGATGAATTGTGGGATGTTACATGCATGCATAAATACATACATACATGATTCCAACTGTCTGTACATATTTTACATGTATCCTACAGAGGAGAAAACACACATACTGTATTATATTACACATAATATACATGTGTGTGTAGGCATATACCTGTTTTGTCTCTTCTCTAACGCATGTCTTAAAACCCCTGTTATATCCATTAAAAGTTGGATGCTTTCTACGCAAGGTGCATAAGATGAAGTCGGATGGTTGTGATGATAGAAATGCTTCTTCCAGTGTGTAACGACATTGGTTTGACAAACCCTATCTACTGCCTGTTAGAGTGCAACGAGCATTTACTTATTTGTTTCCCCTTTTCCTCTGATCTGCACAATGTTTGATGTTGAATTTCACTTTAATGGCTATGAACTGGGCGTGGGTATTGCTTATTGCTTATTCTACATGTTTTTAAGCTGAACAATGTGGATGAGTGGAATGGTCTGCATGAGTAAAATACATGTCTTTAGGATTTTTGCTACGTCAGACACAATTTAGCCTATCAATATCCTTTTGACGCTCAAGGTTTAAGTTTCAAATGTGGACTTCTTTGATGTAGGGTGGGACCGTGGGAAGAGGAAAACAACACAAAACAGCAATTACAGTAGAACTATGGCTAAAACCTGAATAAAATTGAAGTATTGGAACAAGGTGGGGTTGTTTAAGATTGGAAAGAAACCTCTAAATCTGGGGTGATTGATAAGAAACAAAAGGTTGCCTTATAAAAACTCAGCAACCTTTTCTTACTAGTGAAATGCCCTACTCCTAATCCTTGTTGGATAATAAATCACTAATTAAAATGTCACATGCTAATCACATGACAAGTGGAAAATCCAAATAACATGAGGATTCATAAACTAAATAAGAAAACTAAGATACATAAGAAAATAAAATATTCTTCCAAAAGCTCCCGTGTCATCTGCTTTTCAAAGTAGATTGCAAGAAGGAATTGATTGAAATGAAAAGTTCTTATCCACATTCTCTCATTGTTGTGGTCCTGTTGATATTCTTACATTGATGTGGTATTCACATCTGGTTAGTTCGGGAAATATCTGTTTCTATGCTGTTTGTGCCATTTTTTTTTAACTGATACTGAGGTAGAGTTCCATGTCAAATTCCAGTTATACTTTTATTTTGTTTTTGTGAAAGACACCTGCAAATGTTTACATAGAATCATATGTACTCTGCAGATATGAACCACCTATTGGAAGTGGTTTTTACATTTCATCTATTATGTTTAACTTTCAGATTCAGGGGTTAGAGGGCCACCTAAAAATATTAGAGCCTGGATCAAATTTATAGCTGCCTGTTGTCATGTCAGGTATGAGATGAATTTGATAACACACTAGTGCAAATTTCTGTTGTCATAATGGGATATTGTCTTGTTCACATGTAAAATGAAACTGCAAATTCTACTTCTAAGTGGAGATGGGGTTTTCTTGTTTTCTTTTTCTTTTTTTTTTTTCAGGAGTAAACAACCTGTATTTTCAGCTTCAGAAGCTGAGGAGTTAGTTGAAGTTGCTGTTTTCCTTTCTTCAGATCGCCAGCTTGAAGGTTTACTGGTGCTTTTGGATGAATTTGTGCAATCAGTTATCAGTTACTTCACAGAAGAGGAATGGAATAGAAGCTGTGAAAAGATAGCAAGAACCCTTGCTTGCAGGTAATTGCTATTTAGCTTTTAGCGTTGGACTTCTTGGATCATCATGTCCTATTTTTAAATATGCCTTGTTGCATTGATGCTCATCAGAATTTTGTTGAAGTACTTGATCTGCTTACCGTTTCACTCTGTGGCTTTTCCCTGTTTGGTTTAAGAGTTTTCTGAATGCTACTAGTTTTTATATGGTTAGCAGAGAGTGGATGTACATTCTTTGCTCATATCTTTAACTGGAGTTTTTGCGCCCAAGACTAAGGATATAGGATTTTAACTTTGCTGAGCTACATCTCCATGGATATGAGATTTATGAATCACATCCTGTCTTGCTCATCTGTCAACAAGTTCACAAGTATGAATTATGTTATCCCTGGGCATTGCAATGGGATGATGTTGTTGTTTTTTTCTTTTTTTTCCCTCCATATCTCGGGACCAACTGTTGTGACTGTCAGCTTGTGCTTTGTGTTTTTGTCAGCCTGAGATTTTCCTAAGGTAAAATGGACATCATGTTTTGTGTTTGTTTGTGGCAAACAAACTCAGCAATTATTAGCCTTTTTTTCCTCAAAAAAAAAAAAAAAAGGAAGACAGTAGCACCTCATTGTGTCTGGAATGTGATACGGTGCCTGTCATTATAGAGTACATCTTTCCAGAAGCAAAAGGGTGTGGCCTCCTATATGACATCTTCATATTTGATAAGTGGTTGAAAGGGCACCTTATCACACATTACACAGCAGAAATACTAAGTGGATAGATCATCTGGAACTAATGGCTGGTGGCAGCTATAGTTGGTAATAGTTGTGGCATTGATGCTGTTTGATTTCTAGTTTCTGATAGCATCAACACTGTTGGGTACAGTAATGCTGTTAGTGGAGTTGACAGTAGGTGCTAATAGGTGTGTTCAGGATTTAGTTTTCAAAACCATGGTTAAATGTTTTTAGATTTCAAAACCATGATTTTGAAAAGGTAACTGCACACCCACTTGGATTCAAAACCTGTTTTTTAGTCAACTCTTACCACAATCATGAACTCTCTTGATAAGTAATTGTATATTGTGATTTAGTGATAATGTTGATGTGTATAGGGTGAAAAAGGAAACGAAAAGGCAATATTTTGATCTAAAACAACTAATGTTTTACCTACTAAAGAGCAATTTGATTCTTCTTATTTTGGAACATTGCTTTTAGAAAGTGTTTCAATCACTCTTCTTTCTTTGAAATACTTTCAAAAGCAAAGAAAGTTTTTCAAGATATCTGACATTGCTCGAGCTCGATGCAAATAATAGAACTCGGTATTATACCCAATTATCCATTATGATGACTTCTATCATTATAGGCAATGCTTGCCATATTACCTATGGAATGTGACCTTTATTTCTGATTCATTATTTTTATCTCACAGGCCCTTCATTTCTTATTTGGCATATCAATTTGTCTCTGTTTTTCTTTTCTTTTTTCAATAGATAAATTCTGCATATTTGCACATCTAGGATTTACGTATAAAATATATATTATTGTCATGGGGAGATTTCTTATCATTAGGTATGATTAATGCAATTGTTGCACCTTGATTAGTAAATTTAAGAAAATGGGCATCCTTAGAAGACAGATGTTAGCTAGTACTCGATAACTTGCTTGTGACTGATTTCTCTTATTCTTGTTGTTATTGGTTGTTGCAGAAGCCCTAGGGACTTGAACTGTTTGCGGACTGTGGAATGCATTTCAGGAATCAGCACTCGTAGCAATCACCTGAGAAGTGCGGTTTCCTATCAGATACTGCTTAATTGTTTTGATAATAAGGTACCCATGTTCATCTCAGTTAATAACTCAGTTAAATTCATTCAATTTACTGGTTATACTTGTTGATTCTTTTGCCTGGCAAGTTCTAAAATATTCTCTAGTTTCTTGTCTTCTAAGGTTCAATTTGCTTTTGATTATTTAATTTCTGTGCATTATTTACCAGTAATATTAATTATAATGTGCTTAAAAAATATAGGGTTTACAATGATCTAATCAGTTGGGGATTCTGTTATCTTAATTGCCTGATTGTAGCACTTTGATGCATTTCATTTTCCTAACAAGCACAAACTCTCCATTTGCAACGTAAATTTGCATCTTTTGAAAGAAAGAAAAACTAATAGTAGTATGAATGAGATAATGTCAGAAATATACATCTGCTATCATAAAAGTAAAATTAACACTACTATGGACGAGGAGAATGGCAGACCTCCAATTTTAGCTTCCCATAAACCAAGTTGATTGTTGTCGGTGCATTCTAACTATAGTTTTAAAAAAGGCATTCTAACCATAGTTTTAAAAATGGCGGTTACATAACGTAACGGCCGTTATATAATGATTTTAGGGCACCCTGTTACCATTATTCAGCGTTATGGGTGCCCCAATGCCGTTTCAAAGGTATAATGAAAAATAACGGCGTTATACATTAAAAAAAAAAAAAAACCAAAAATCAACCATTTTAGATTTAGAGTTTGAGAGTTTATTTTACTAGAGAATAAGAATCAAATACTAGAGTTGGAGGCTTGATTGAATAAATATTAAATTAGTTCTTTTATTTTGGCAAAATAAATTAGTTAGTCCTTTTTATTTCAAAAACCAATTATTTATTTATTTTTGTTCATTTTATGTTATTTTCTAATTTATTTTTCTTTTTGTTTAAAAAAATGAAAAAGTAAATTTATATTGTGAAAAGATTGATGAAAAAACATTGTGAAATAAAATATATTATATTAAACATGATCTAAAGATTAAATAATTAGTTTTTAAAACATTAAGAACTAATTAATTCATTTAACAAAACTAGAGAGACTAATGTATAATTTACTTAGGCTGTTTGTCTTGTGTGCAGGGGCAACAAATTCAAAGGCTTGCAAATGCAGGCTTTAATCGAGCAAACTATAAATTGGTTCTTTTCGTTTGGAAAAATAAAATAGTTGGTTCTTCTTGTTTCAAAAACTAATTATTTAGTCATATTTTTTAATTTTATGTTATTTTCTAATTTGTTTTCTATTTTGTTCTAAAAATTAGAAAAATAAAAAAAATTACATCATGATAAGAATGTTGAAAAAAAATTTGTGAAATAAAATATTTTACATTAAACATAGTCAGCACTGAATAAATTTATGGAAATTAAAATTTATTATTACTTATTAATATGCTCAATTAGCAAAATTGTTAAAAATATATGAATTAGAATAAATTTATTAACGAGTTGCTAATGTATTTACGACATCGATTGCCGCGATCGTTATTTTACTACTGCGATAAGCTGCGATCTGCAGTCATGATTTTGACTTTTTTTCAACCGCGATTGCTATTTAAAACTATGATTCTAATTGTACTGATAAATGTATAGAAAGATATAGAGTACAGTGCCATAGGATCTTCATAGTATTCTAGGAATATAACTACTGTTATTTCTTGAGACAATATGTTCTCTTTTAGCCTATGAATAATGGATAATTGTTGACATGCTTTTGAGTCTGGTTTGTTTTTTGTGTGTACTGATTTATAGGGAACTGGGTGTTGCTTATAGCATCAACCAACCAATCCTTACTGTTGACAAAAATAGAATTATAACCTGGTTAGAGTGACTTTATTGACATATTTCTTGCACTCTGTTTTCCCGGAATTTTTCTTATTATTTTGGGAATGGTTACGCTTACTATGCAATCACAAGTTTGTGAATATTCTGGCAAAACATCATTTCTATTATCACATAAATTTGAGTTCAATCGGTTGAATGATTTGTTGTCCGTCGATTTTGAATCCAAACTGTCTTGGGCCAAATTGGACTATAACCTACTTGTTCACTTTTGTCACATTCATCAGGCTTCCAATGAAGAAGAGATCCTGAGTTTGCTTATCTCCATAAATGTGAAAGACCGAAGTTGTGACCTTTCCCAGATGTACATTTACCTGGTTTTGACTGCAAACTGGCTCTTGTCCAATCCAATGTTTGAACTCAAGCCAGTGATCTATGAAATGTGGGGTGTTTATCTGCGAAACTGTTCTTGCCAAATCACTAGCACAGATATGAGGCCCTATGCATCAAAGGTGTGCAGTTGAATGTTCTTATCTCTATGCGCTTAAGTGATTTTCATTAACAATAAGTTTTTTCAATATTTCAGGTCCGCACTAAAGCTTCATATATTCTAAATGGCACCAGCAAGAAAATTATTATCAAGTATGTGTCCCTGCCCGTCCCAAAAAGAAATCGCATTTCGTAAACTATGAATGACTGTTGATTGATGCCTATGTCTTTTGTAAGTCTTTTATGGGAAAACTGCATAATAAGTATATCAACTTTGAACTTTTTCTTAATCAAATACATGAACTTTTATTTTTTTATTTTAGTATATCAATTTTTTGAAAATGCCAATCAAGTTTTTCTGTTTAATTTTCTGTCTGGTGATGATGTGACTGTTAACAGAGAAGACTAAATGACTATATTGTTTTTTCTTTTTTTCTTTTATCCTTTCAAATTGTTATTATTTTTAATTATTAATTAAAAAAAGAAAGCGAAGCAGCTTAATTGAAAAAAAAAAAAGATAGCAAAGTAGTTGCTTTGCTTTTTAAAAAGGCAACAATCATTTAATTCTTTTTGTTAGTTGCCAAATCATCATTAGACGAAAAATTGGATGGAAAAGCTTGATTGGTATTTTAAAAAAAATTGATATACTGAAACGAAAAAAATAAAAATTACTGTATTGGATTGCGAAAATGTTAAAAATCTGATATACTTATTATGTAGTTTTCCCATGTCTTCCGATGTAAGTCAAGGCATAGGTGCCGAAATGTAGCAGAAAGGAAATGACTAGTGGGAAATCAGTGCTCTTTAATATTGCTCGTGTCACGAGTTATGCCCATAAGTGTCTTTGTTCACTTCATGTGCTCCACACCTTGACATGGCGGCAATTCTGTCCGTAAAAAGATTGATAAGGACAAAAACCATTTACTCCGATATTTATCGTTGTGCACAAAAACGGCCAAGGTTGTTTGTATTGTGCCATGTTTAGAGGGATTTCTTGCCTTGTGAAGATATGCTAGTATTTCCAACCATTTCTACAGTATCAAGATAATCCAATCACTACATTTCCTCTCTGTTGTGACTGCACTTCAATTTACTTATTTATTTTTTATTTTTTTGACTGCACTTCATGGGTTGCAGCATTTTCAATCTGTGGAGAATAACATGAGATGTTGAAGCGTTTCCAAATTAACTACATAGCATTTCATGTTTGCAGGGAAGTCTAGTGTGCAAGAATTTGAATCCACCGTACTCAGTTCAAAGCATGCAAAACACGTCCTCCTTTGAATTCTTTAGGCCAGCTGATTCTAAAGCTTAGTTGTGGGAGAATGGAAGGTGAAGTTTGGCAGGTTTTGGTTTGGTCAGGTAAACACTAGTAATCATTTTTGTGTAACTTGTATATTAGAAGAGATTCCAATGTACTGGATGAATATTTAAGTTCCAGGAGGGAACAAATGGTGCAACGTCTCTCCCATCCAATTGTTTCTTTCTATTTTTGAAAAACAAATTATTAGTTTTTTTTTTCCCAAAGTTAATTATCTAATACTTTAATAGTGCTGACTATGTTTGATTTAATAGTTATTTATTTCAAAAAATGTAATATTTTCTCATAATCATTTCATATTTTTTTTCTTTTCTATTTTTTAAAATAAAAAATCAAAACAAATTAAAAAAGAATTAAGTTATAAGAAAATTTAAAAATATAGAAACCAAACAAATAGTTTTTGAAACAAAAGATACTAATTAATTTGTTTCTTGAAACTAGAAAGAACAAATTATAATTTACTTACCCATATACCACATCAATGACTTGCATGAGCAATTAAAAAAAAAAAAACTCTTGTAAGAGCTTTAAGTTCATGCGATCAGCCAGCTCATTTTTCTATTAAATTGTGAGACAACAATTTTTATTTTAAAATCTAAATCCTAATTTCTTTACTAAAACAAATTAGAATTTTTTTCAAAATTTGACCAAATCACATTGGGAATAAAATCTATATAATATTAATACACATGACACCATTCATCTAATATGTTGATTCAATTTTCAGTTGATATGGGCATTGTTTGTTTGTCATTCCTAATTAATGGAATTGAATGGCAATATTTTATTGGTCCTAGTTAAGCCGAATCAATGAACACAGTGTTATTGAACAAATTATAAATACATGGACAATTTTGAATAATTGAGAGAAACGCAATGACAACATTATAAATTAAGTTAATTTCAAGGTTAGGGATATAATGATTGGTCGCTCCGGAAATGAGTTCGAAATAGAAAAGGAAATCCGCTTTCATTTTGTATTTATGGGGGAAAAAAAGATGGATTAGAGTTCTCATAGCAGACCGGATGCTAGGCATCCAGCTTCCCTTTTCTTAAAAATATGGGACAGAAAAACACATGATAAAGGGCCTTATAAAGATCATTGGTGCAGGATTTATCTTGTCCCATGTCTAAATTTTCATTTAGATTTTGCTTATTATTTGATCCTTCTACTTTTCAAATTATTTTAATTAAAGTTTCATATTCTTTTTTTATTAGTGGAGTCATTCTACTTTTTATTTTGTCTTATTACGATCTCTTCATTATAATTCGTTAGTCACAACAAATTATCGTCAAAACTTCATCATAATACACGATATGTATCATACGTAAGATTTTTAATAAAAAAATTCAATCAATTTGAAAAATAATATGAGATTTCAATTAAAACAATCCAAATAGTACAATGACCAAGTAATGGATAAAAAGAAAACTTAATTTTCAAAACATGGAAAATTGAAAATTAAATTTAAGAAACTCAACAAAACTTGAAAAACCTAGATTGTTAATTAAAAAACTGGAAAAAAATCTCTAGAAACTTAAGTTTTGTTAAGTGAGGGCAAAAGAAGGCGGGAGAGGAAGAAGAAAATGAGGAAAGAAGAAAGGAGATCTAGGATTTAGGGATTTATGTTTAACGATGGATGCAATCTTATCGCTAATCGGCGATGAACGTAAGTGTTCGTCGCTAATTTTGAATTGATGAGTCCACTTTTTTTTAATATTAACAATGGAAACTGTCTCTAATATACCGGTGAATATTTAGCCGCCAAAGCTGTCGCTAGTTCATTGGTGTTCCGTAGCTGAAATCCACGTCTTGATAACGGTCGTAGTTCGTTCGTTAATCCATTACTATTTAGCGATTGATTTCAATCTGTCACTTATATATGTTGCTATTTCACGGTTTTATTACAGTGATAACAAATCAAGTATCACAATCCAAATACGCAATGCTAATGTAAAAATACAATCCATCGACTTGTTCTCTCTACAAAACCACAACAGATAAGAAAGACATTAAGGTCTGAGGGCAAGATGGAAGAAGCAAGTTATCCTTAGAACATAACCGCGTCAAAGAAAACCAGACAACCAACAACCAAATAAATTCTATCCTCTAGCATACTCCAATCCTAACACATGACATCTGAAACTAAAACCATCAATCAAATTAACACCATGGTGTGAAAGACTATTAAAAAAGAAAAAAAAGCAGCAAGTACCGATCGATTGCTAAAGGAAGTCAATGAGCTAGAACAAAAGGGGGAGAATGAGAAAAGACTTGTAAGATCATATTGAATATATACGGTAGGTTCCGATGGGATAATAAATTGATATTAATTCATGCTGGCATCACTGGATTTAATTATCTCCACATCATCACAATTAATAATCCACTCGGCATGTTTTATTTTACTATACAAAATACTTATGTTTTAAAAATATTGTTCTCCTTGTGTATAATACATAACTAGTGGCACGTACGATAATTACTTTTTGAATCCACTTTGAGGAGAGAAAGAGAGAGAGAAAAATAGGAGAGAGAAAATAAAAAAATTGAGCCGATGTGAAAATTTTCTTATCACTTTTGATAGGTATGAATGCAATTTCTCTATTTTTTTATGTGTTTATCTCTCACCTCAAAGTTGACCCAAAGAGTAACTACTCGTATATGCTACTTAGTAACTTCTTGTGTATTATAAAATTTTCTGCACTTCAACTTAAAAAAAGTTCAATTTATGTCTTTGAAGAGAGAAAAAAAAGTTCAAAAAACCATTTTTATATTTATTTTAAGAAAACCATCACAGTGGAGTATATGAACCACTTATATAATTATATAAATTCAATTTATTAAAAAAGAGAGTTAAATTTAAGAAAGTATAAGAAATCTATGTGCTAAGTATATTAAATAAAAAGGGTTCCAAGGTTTTGAACCCGAAGCTGGCAATTTGGAAAAGAAAATCCAACTTTGACAAGTAATAATAATAATAAAAAGAAGAAAAAAGAAGAGGTTCCAAAGGAAGTACGGGAATTCAAAAACCAGGCTCGGATACGACCTTAGCTTCGGGAAGCCGTTGGAACTCCAAACCTGCGGTTCATACCCTAATGGTTTCTTCCTTTTCCGCTCTCTTCTTCTTTATGTCTTTTTCTTTTTTCTCATTTTCTTCGAATCAATGCCTTTATTCCTCACTCAAATTCAAGAACAGAGGGAAACAAAAAAATTTTTCATTTCACTGATTGATTCCTTTCTCCCTTTTTATACTTTGAAACTTCTAAATTTCTTGTATCAACTCTTTCTTGAAGTTTTTTTTGGAGTTTTTTTTTTTTTTGCCCTAGAAACCAGTTTTGGACCCAAAACATCCACTTCATTTCAGTTGAAATTATTAAACATTCTTGATTGTCCTTTATTAGGGTGTCAAAGAAGAGTTAGATAAGCATGAAAGGAGAAAGAATGGCAAAAAGATCGTCATTTGGTAACATAATGAGGAGAAGACTCTCTGATATTACCAACACTCAGTCGCCAACCGAATTGATTGGCTTCATGGGAGAGCAGCCCCAGATTTCCAAATTGATTGGCCTCATAGGACAGCAGCCCCAGGCTTCTGAATTCACTCCAGACTTAATTAATCAGCTTCTTCAGGCATGCATATCGTTTTTGTTTTCTTTCTTCTTCTTTTTTTTTTTTTTTTTTTTTTTGTATTGATGAATTATCATTTTCTTTTTACTCGTGTCCTTCTTTATATCATATCTGATATAAGAATTGATAAAGGAAATGAAATGGGTTGTTTTTTTTTATATGTGTTTAGGTGAAACAGGAGAAAACAATGCTGCTGAAACTGGTAGAAGAGAGAAAGTATCCTTTGATTGCTTTATTATTATTTTTTTTAACTACTTTTGTGTGTTAATTTGTTTGGTTGTTGAGAAAGAAAATATGGGAAAATGGAGAACTAAGAAACTTTACTCCCCTCGCTATGCAAACGCATTTTCTTTTTGGGACTTTAATTTGGATGGATTTGCATTTTCTTAATTATGATTCAACAGTAAAATCATAGAATTGAGTGGAAACAAATTGCGGGATCTGCGAATGAATTATCAGAAATTGCAGGCGCAGAACAGGAATCTTGCTCAATCAAACAGCCAGATGTTAGCTGTATGTTTCTTCCATGCATTGATATTTAAAGCTAACCTCATTTGTTAGTATAATTTTGAGTGATATTGATTGTATACATTCTTTCTTATTTAACAGGAGCTTAATTTAGGAAGAGAAAAGGTGAGTTTGTTTGAAATACCTACCGCTAGCCTTGAATTATAGTCTTTTTGTTTGTGAAATTTTGTCTTTGATTTGTGCCTGACTCGAGAATTTGGTATTATCATTTCAGCTGAAGGCACTACAGCATGAAGTTGTATGCAAGGATGCCTTACTTAAAGCAAAGAATCTAGAACCACGGGTTAGTTTCAGTTTTCATTCCACAATTTTCTTATTAGAATCCATTAAAATTGTTGAGCTAGAGATTCAGCAGGAACACACACAAACTGTGCATATTCTGTTTCATAGCATCGCATTATTAAGTGAAATGGAAAGTAGAAACATGCAGAATGCTGTTTAGGACTTATTTAATCAGAATAAACCCAATTTCATTGGGACTCATTTAATCAGAATAAACCCAATTTCATTGATAAATTCTGTAAATGTTTGTAACCCAAGAGTAAACTGGAAGCTAAATATCACAAGTATGAAGTTTAGGACCGAGTTTAGGACTGCCTTATTGCTTGGAAAGAGTCATGCCTTCTCAGGTTTCCTGCAATAGCTTCTATGCAATTTCAGGAGGATTTTAATCTTTTCAGTCATATGTTTCTTTTCCTAGTATAACAACTATGGCTGTATAGCAAAATTACTTGCTTCCGCAGATCATATTTGCATTGAACAACTTTAAGCAACATGGACATATATTTTTGGAGCAAATTTGACTCCAATTCAGTGACAATTTGAAACATATTTTAGTGCAAGACCTTCTCGTTTTGATTCAAAGGAAGTGTTCCTTCATGTCATTGGTGATGCATCTTGTTATTATGCAGGGAAAAGCAGATCTGAACTGTCAAAAAGTTGTATCCCAGGTGAGTCTCTTCAACTTTGTGTGTGTCAGCAAAATTATTAAAACCGTCCATAATTTGTTACTTTCTACATTGTTGCCTGTTGGTACAAGGTAGTGGAGAAGATAGAAGAGGAGGGATGCCTGCCACAAGCTAACAATGATATCAAACCTTGTAGTCGCAGCAGAAGGCGCACAGCAAGAAGTCGATGTAAGAATCTTAACCTAAAATGGGTTCTGAATGCCAGGAATTTTCTTTTGTTTCTCAATGGCTGACACAATGTACTCTCAAACGAACTCATGCAGCTATGGGCCCTTCTACTACAAATCGACAAACTGTAGAAAAAGAGAAGGCTGAAACCAAAAGGTTAGATCACTTCCACCACTTTGCCATCAAGCATGTCTTCCATTCCTTTGAGCTTGAACTGGGGCTTCAACACGCCATTCCATTTGCCATGGGGTTAAAACTTTGCAAGTCTATGCAGAAAACCATATTCTTTCGGGTACTATTATACCCAATTGAAGGATTGGTCACTATATCAGAGATTAAGAACATTAGAAGCAAGCTAGCAGAGAAAAGTTTGCCCATTTTTGGGTTTCAACATTCTGTCACCTGGTGCGATGGGCTTCTAGCATTTGTGTTGTACATTAATCATGAAGTCTGCATTATTTCCTCTGTGTTTCAGGCGTTGTGTGAGAAGGCAATCTGCTAGATCACGAGAGCGGGAGCCTGCGGAGAACTTGTTTGAGATAGAGGATGTTAAGTTTCCAGTCTGTAATTCAAGAGCAGAAAATGGTCCAACTCCATCTATCATGAAGGATGTTAAGTTTCCAGTCTGTAATTCAAGAGCAGAAAATGGTCCAACTCCATCTATCATGAAGGAAGAAACTTGTGAGCCAAGGAACGAAACACAAGTATCGCATAGATCTTCTATAGGAAGGCCCTCGCGAAGAGCAGCTGAGAAGATACAATCCTACAAAGAAGTTCCAGTTAATGTAAAAATGCGCAGAGCTGAATGAGCACAATTCCACGATGTACAACAACCACATTGAGTATTAGAAGAAGAGTTATTATCTGTCTTCCAAATACAGATGGTTGGACCACCTATGATTAATGCTGTTTGTGTTCTATGTATTTATTATCGGTTGTTGTAAAAGTTGATGATTGATCATATCCTAGGCGTTATCGCGCAGCAAATTTCTCTCTTTTTCGTTGAAATTCATGGATCGGCGTAGACACACCATGTATGAACCCATCTACTATGGACAGGGCAGTCACCTCAATGTTAGGACGTGACGTTCAAGCTAAAGCCCATTTAAGAGGAGAACAAGCCCATCCAATGTAACAAGACAGCCAATGCTCACACTTTTCTTTATTCACAATTTTTGGGATATGGGAATATTGACACATCAATAGATTGTCAAAATTATCATTTATAAATGTACCAATTTTTCCATTTCACGCGCATGAAATTGAAGGATGATTCTGACATTTTCTTTAAGTCGTGTCTATCTGACGACAAACATCGTTGTATTAATAATATTACCCTTTTTAATCGCGGAGACTTTAAAAAAAAACAAAAAATCTATGTATAAAACAGTATGGATTGTTAATATTAAAATGGTCAATATATATTTTGCAATGTGTTGGTTTCTAAACAATGAATTATTATTATTATTTATGATTGTATGGAGTTTTCATATTAACTCTCTAAACTTACTTCTTTATTATTGTTTTTTTTTTAAAAAAAAAACCTTACTTTTTTATTTCAATTAATAAGTATTCGTTTTAAGATTAATTTTTTTTTTAAAAAAAAATTTATTTGCTTTGTACTTGAGTTTGAATTTGAATAACAAGAAAAAGAAGCATATCACTTTTAGACATTGAGTTCAATCAGAAGTAATTCTTAACATATTTAACCCTCAAAGAATATTGGGTAGGGGGTCCAAAGAGTTTAATTAAATACTGTTCTTTTAAAACTTGATCTTGTTTGGTATTTTTTTAACCTTTTGTCTTTTTTATAGACAGAACTTTGTCTTTCTTTTATTTTTTATTTTTAAATAAAATACCACTCTGGTCTCTTCTTATAATTTAGCTTCTTATAAATTCAAATATTCTAAATAGAAGATTTGAATTTATGATTCATTATTGTAAGTACCAAGAACTTATTATCACTAGACTAGAAACTTATTATTAATTTTTGTTTCAAAATACACACCAAATTAATTTTTAATTATCTCTCACTAAGTATTACTAACAATTTAATTATTTTCTCTCTTTTTCCACTAATATTTAACCTATTTATAAATAAAATAACATCCTAATAAAAAATCAACTTTTACACTTTTAAAAATAGTTCTTATAATAGTTACTCCTATGACACTTCACTCTATTTTTTTTTAATTATTTTTTTTAATCTGGTACCAAATGCCACCTAAAGGATTGAGATGGTGGTTAGATAGGTATGCTTTCATTCCTTGACATCCTTAGTTAAAATCTTAGTATCAATAATAGATAATTTATTAAACTAGTAGGAAGATATTTTTTATTGCCAAAAAAAATATATTTAAATATTATTTTAAGCATTAAATTTTTAACTAAATAATTTAAGAATCGATGTCTTATAAATATTAATAAACTTCACGGCATGATGATCTGTCATAAAAACCATCTCAACTCAAAAATTTAATTGTTATGTGAGGTTTCATAAATAATTTTATTTTGCTCTCTAAAATATTTTCTCAAATAAAAGCTTTGAAATTTACGAGAGATTCATAATTATTTTATGCTTTATTAGAAGAAAAAATCGAGATGGTGAGATTCAAATTCGTGATACATTTCATCATCAAAGTTTTGATATCATGTCAAATAATCATTTCAATCAAAATACTTAAATCATTAAATAAAGCTTCAATAATAATTTTATATTATTCTTTTACATGTTACTTCAATGTAACCCTAATACCTATGTAGGAAACCATTCGTTCTTAAAACTGTTATGCAACAAGAAGACATGGAATTTGAATGTGTATATTTCTACAACAGCGTAAATAATTGAATATTCATAACTCACAAGTTAAGTTTGTGGTTAGTGACCAAATCTTTTTCCTATTTGTGGGCTTCAAACCCTATTTTAGCAAAGACCTGAAGTCATCGATAGTCTCTAAGATTCTTCGCTTTAATCACCAAAAATTCTTAAAGTAACTAACTAAATATAGGTAGGACAGATAATACTTAACAAAATTCTTCAAGGCAAACAGAACCGTGTGGGTCCCACTTTTCTTTTCGTAACGTTGTGGGTAGATGGTACTTGGAGGTGATGGTGATAAATTGAGAGTAAGGGAGCATCTGAAAAAACGAACTAGGATGAATTATCACAAACAAATTTATATGGATACTTGTTAAGTGCATAAAAATTTAATTTTAAAATGTATGATTTTAGATGTGAAAGATGATTCTACATAATGATTTATTAGCTTCCATATAATAAAGCAAAAGAAGAGATGTATGAAGTATAAACACGATATTGTTTCGACAATTTTTAAAATTTTATTTACTTTTTTTATAAAAAAAACTCTATGTAAATCCAAATTATTTATTATTTTTATTAACCATATTTCATGCGTCAATGAAAGTTATCATTAAATTATATATTACTTTTATTTACTTAAAAACAACTCTATGTAATATTTAAATTGGATTTTTTTTTACTTTAGTTATATAAAATCAATGAAAGAATTTACGTTCTTAAGTAATTTATTTTTTAAAAAAAAATCTTAAACTTGAGTTATGTTTTTAATAGCAATTTTAATTTAACAAAGTATAAATTAATGATGATGCCACGTGTATTAATTAGTTTCTAATTAGTTAGTTTTTAGTCATTTATTTTGTTAATTTAATGGGTTAGAATTAGTTCACTTAAGTTTAGTAGAAATACAAATTTGTTTTTGACTTATAGATTATTCAATCAAAAAGTCAACAAAACATAATAAATTACCAAATAACAAGTAATTTTAACTCTAACACAACATAATATGTTATAATCTAACATATATTTTAATATATTTAATTTCACAACAGAGTAGAGCGTAGCATAACAAAACCAAAACCTCGATGGCCCATAAAAAGATTTGTCACATCAAGTAAGTTAATTAAACAAAGTTGGATTTTAATACAAATAGCTCTCTCCATCTTTTACTTAATCCTGCCTCCAAATCCCAATAAAGAAAATAATAAATCAAGGAGGGTTATTTTCATGACAAAGGACTCAAATCAGGTTTATATATAGAAATAAAATGAGTCACATGGCAAAATCAAAATCAAAATTAACTATTACTAATCAACCGTCCTCACATGCTTGGAAGGAATAAAAGACGAAACAGACAAACTATTTCGTCGTTTTATCAGACTTGGAGACCCCAAACCGCGTCGAGTCACGATCACGGACTATTAACTCAAAGACTTTAAAATTTCTTTTAATTGACAAATTTAAATCCAAGGAAGTTTGAGTTAGTTATCCTAATTATTTGTAAATCTAAATTATATGAAGTATTACCAGTTTCCTTTTTTCTTTTTAAGTATTAATGTTAAGAGTAATCGGTTATCACCGAATCAGTTTCACATATACAAATTTATTAAATAAATTAAATGGATCTGAATTGATGCATAGTATTTTTATTATAGAACTAAAAAAATAAAAGTAATTGTTAAAATATAAAATAGGTTTTTACCTAAAAAAAATGTTAGGATAAAGCATTTGTACAAACCAAAATAACAAAACACAAGCCTCACTTTTTCTCTTTCTTCTTACAAGTAAAATTAGAATCAACTAATCAATAATAATTAATATGGAATATATAAACACAATTACAATCAATACATTAATTTTTTTACATCATAACTCTAAAGTGGGAAAAACATCACATAACCATAGTCTACTCAAACTCTTTTCCTATATCAAATAATAAGATACACAATTTTTTTCTAAGCTTAATTAAAGAATACATATCAAAACATCAAACCCACCATCACAAAAATAAATTTCAACAGTAACATCAAAGAAATAGTTGGATCTCACCAAATAAATTTTTTAAGAAAATATCTAATGATGAAAGCTTCTCAATTATCAACACCGTTCAAATTGAACGACTCTTTGTCGAGGATAGAATATCAAAATTTTATCTCAATTGAATTCGAAGTCACTATTTGTTAAAGGCAATAAAGATGAGGAGCAAACTTTCTTTCTTTTTCTTACATGTCAAAATTTCCCTCCTTTTTCTCTTTATGGTTTTTTGTTTGTCTTGTATTGTATTTTTGCAATTATAGTAGTTTTTTTATATCTCTTAATTTGATGCATATTAAAAGGTCACGTAAGTGACTTTTATAATGGTCACTTACGTGACGATATTAGTTTTTTTTTCATTTTTTATTATTTTTTCTTATTTTATATACACGTTTTTTTAATCTAGTATACATGGATTTTTGTGCTCCATATAAAGAGGGATTCAACCTAATAATTTTCTCCCTTTCGCCTCATTTGGGAGCTCCACTAAGCCATTTGTCTTTTGCAAACTCAAACTTCTCTCTCAATAAAAGCTTGGTCATTATATTTAATCTATTCTTGTTGGTATGGATATTCTCAATAATGAAAAACTCATCACCATAGAATCTCGAATCTATTGGTATTTTATCTCAATGTGCTTTGATCGGTAATGAAAAGTATGATGCTTGTTAAGATGCATTGCACTCTAAGTATTGTAATGCAACATGAAGATCTCTTGCTTTAGTCCAAGTTCAAGTAAGAACTTTTTCATCTATAACAAGTTTTTGTCCCTTTCAATAATAACAATACATTTATGCAACCTTCATTAAAATGAAATTGCTCCCCTTACAAAAGTCACAAAGTACCTTGATGTAGACTTTTAAGGACTATCATAACCCATTTTTGATCCCTATTTCCTTTTCATACAAAATTCAAAGACAAATAATAATAATAATAATAATAATAAGAGTAAAAATC